GGATGGTGATCGAGAGACCTCATTTGGCCAGCCAAGGTTCCCATATCCGGAATAGGTGTATAAGAGGCAGGAACCCTCTTCCGGGTTTCTTTCCATAAATAGAGAAAGAACAATGTCTGAGATGATAATGACCCGCTATGTTGAAATGAGAAAATATGAAGACAAAACACAGGAATCACTTAATACATACCGCTTTACTAATGAACAATAATTATATTTACACGCCCATCTCCCTGGATCAGCGGTAAAATTGTTGCGCACTTTAAACACACCATCGAATACATCCAAAACCTCTGTTTTTTTATCCTCACAGCAGCCCTAAGGTCCAGGAAATTTTTGAGGGCCTGAATCCTGTTGCCGGTCGTCCGGTGTTACCAGGCGAACCCATACGATTAATCAGGGATCGGATTGGAAGATTACTTTCGGATCGGAGCCTTAACAAGACTTGATTTTACCATACCACTGTCTAACTATTTCACGCTAATCCTTTGCCTGCTGGCACGCGAAAAGGGCTTGTCTATCCAAAAAGAAGATGATTTCCTACTATAAAAGAAAAGCTACATCGAAGACTTCACGGAAATGCATTTCATGGTTTTACAGGTTGCCACTGCCCAAGAAAGGTGCGAACCTAAGCGTTCCTCTGCCCCCGACCGAGTTATGAAAAGTAGAAATAGCCGTGTTTCCCAGGAACGAGACTCTTGAATTCCAAATGCTACTTTTTTGTATGCGTATTATTACCTCCAGAAAAGTCACACGATTGCACTAATTGCCAAACGTGCTTAAATATATTGACTCGACAGTATTATTATGCATGACATCTAAAAATGCCTCAAACATTCCTAATAACCAAAGTATCCAAGCATATTTACATCAATTACAATGTAAAGAATTTTGTAGTATCACTAATAAGCTATAATAAGGCAGTATGTAAAGAGCAGGACTTGTGATGACAGGTCAAATGAACACCACAATACGAAAGATCTACATCTAATAGTTCAGCTAACGTAAGAGCACCTAGTCAAATCACTCGTACAGGATCTTTGAGTACAGTCTTAAGAGATCAAAGTTGACATAAAAAAAATTAACATTTCTATCGCAATAGGATGACCTACGGGAGTATTTAGTGGAGGACATTTAATAATTTTATAGCTGCTTGGATGTGGATAGTTGGCATTGAATCGAAAACTTATCGATACTAGAGAGATTTTTATGAGCGACATTATACATTTTCCAGGATAAGAGTTCTGGAATTAGGAAAGAGCACACGTTAAGAAATTCTTAAGTCGATGAGGTCCGCCATCCTGTCAAAACAAATGGATGACAGCATTATTTTCTATCAGCACTTCAGTATTCCACACAAACATCACCAACAACAAGTCTATGTGATTATCTTTTTAAAAAAAAATATTGTAAAACGCCTTATATTACGTTATCTCCTATAGTTTATTTGTTTGATCTGTTGTCTTTGAACCTACTTATGGTTGGTTTTATGACAAAGCTCTAAACGAGGTTCTCTCTTTTGGTATCAGTTTGACTGGTATATGTACTGCCCTCAACCTTCTCTGTTTCTTCGTGCTAGGCTTGCCCCAACATAACCGGTTCTCTTATTTTGATTCTCTTCTCCCTTCTTCCTTTGTTTTGGCTGGCCCGTTTTGCCCCCCATCCCCCTCAATCTCACTTGTCTTGCGCCTTTTCTGCTGGACATAAAATGTCTTCGGCCCCTTTTGGGCACTGATCGCCATTAGCCCTTTAGCTCCCTTCTTTCGATGGCTTGAGAATGAATTTAATCTTTCGAGTACAACAAAACATGTTTGGGTTGGGATTATGTAAAAAAATGTAAATAATGACTTTGGAAAGGCGTTAAATAATTCAAAAATATCTAAAATCTAAATCTAAGTCTAATCTTGCTGGTCAGCTAGGTAGGATACAGACCACCAGTTGACCTAGGAACTAGATGACTACTAAAACGCTGCAATATATTTCTTACTTTCATTGGTGTTCAGGACTGAATCATGAACTTGTGCCTGGCTGTTCGACTTGCTTTTGCGTGTTGCCAGCAGCGGGTTTGGCGGAGAGCTTAAAAACAAAATAAAGGTAATGATGAGCAAATAATTACCTCTGCAATGATGTTACAACATATAAAACGGAGCAAATATCTATGCTATAATAATGTATTAAAACTACCAAATAATGAAAGTGTTCAAAGGACACTGTAGCTCACCACACAAAAAGGACACAAATGCGGTGAGTGAGAAGACAGTCAAGTTTTAATTGAAGGCAAGACCAGTCGAGCGCTGGTACATTATAAAAAGCGAACGAGTATATCATGGCAGATACTCCAATTAGTATAATCTGTGATACGACTTATGTGTAATTTTTTTTATGTGAAAATAATAAATAATATATCATAAATTATATATAAGTTTATAAACCAAAATGAATCACAAAATTTGTGACGGTGAGATGGCGGCTATACCGTTTGATGTTTTTTTTTACATAAATCATTAAATATCATAATAAATCAGATAACAAAAATAATAGTATAAATCATAATATGTTCATGAGGCAGGCACATTTTTGCATTAAATGGCAATGGCGTGCTCCAAAATAGGAAGTTTAATATGGGAGCATAGGACTATAACAACTATACCCAATATTCAACATGTGGGTCAAACGTGTCCTGAGTGTATCGTTGACCGTAGACCAAATGTTGACTACAGGGGATACATGTAGTTGGCGACAACTGCTCGTTTCTAGTTATATAATATTATTTATTATTTTCACATAAAAAATTACACATAATTATCAAGAGTATATAATGGGAGTTCTCCCATATATACTCTTCGTTTCTATAATGTACGTCGATGGTTGCTCAATTAAAACTGACTTCTCACTCACTCACTCATTTGTGTCCTTTTTTGTGGTGAGCTACAGTGTCATTGACACTTTCATTATTTGTAGTTTTAATAATTATTATAGCATTATATTTGCTCCGTTTTATATGTTGTACATCATTGAGAGGTAATTATTGCTCATCATTACTTTATTTTGTTTTTAAGCCGCAACCCGCTGCGGACACAAAAGAAGTCGACAGCCAGCCACAAGTTCATGATCAGCTGAACCATGAAAGTAGATGCAGTAGTTCATCCAGTCTAGGTCAACTGTGTCTATCCTCAGCTGAGGTGACTGTCATTACATCAGAACCTAGTATGCCAGCAGAAAAGCCGAAGCCAATTTATGTGCCAGCAGAAAAGGCGAAGACAATTTATGTGCCTGCCGAAGACGAGAAGTTGGCAAGCATTCCATCAGATAAGGAAAAGTTAAGTGCACCACCAGTGGCAGCACTTATAGAGAAGGAAAAGGCGTACATTTTTAAGGATCCTAACTTTGTGGTATGTGTGCGAATATGAGTGCTAAAATATGTTATCCATTTTTTACAGATGCATATATTAAATTGACTGTGTCCCAAATTTCCTGAAAATCATATTTGTAAAATCTTTGTTGTAATTTTCTAAATGAAACGTAAGTACTAATAGCACTAAATATATCCTCAAACTATTACTTGATAAGAATGTTTTTATCAATTACTTAATTACTCAAAATTCTATGATTTGACTAGATGAATAAAGTTTCATACTTGCTTATTTGCATGTGTATACATTTACATGTATTTTCATATCTATACTTGAAGAATGTCTACTTTTTTAATGCAGCATTCTGTGAGAGGTTGCATGACTGGAGGTAAAAAGACAAGAGCATGGAAAAGTTTAAAACAGATCATCTCTGCAGAGAAGGCAGCACAGTGGCATCCTGATGCACCTATCTGTGAGCTTTATTAGCAGTCTTTTATGAAGCTAGTGCAGCAGGGAGTGAAATAGTTGACAGTTGGTTGAAATATCTTTTAGTGTCAAGTAATTCAATTATATATAACTGGTTAAGGCAGTTACCTGATAGCTTTATAAAACTGTTGTTTATATAATCTGAAATCAAGCGTGTACAAAATTCAATCAGGTCATACCGACATATTCATGTGTGAGTGCTAGCGTGTTTCATAAATGATAGATCTTTGTTCATATTTTCTCATCACGGTCTATCACTCATTGTTTTCTCTGTCACACACATAGATGGCGCCATCGATTCACCACCTTCCATGAAACCTGCAAAGAAGTACTCGGATGTGTCAGGGTTGCCTGTAAGTATGAGTCGTGAAGGGCATGTTACATCATAAACGGTATCCTGACACAACTTGTTATTGGTACTTTTATATTAAATAATGTTGATAATTGGTCGAAGTCGATGTAAGTCGTATGTCTAAAACTTTACACAGTTTCATTGTTGCAGAGTGGTACGGATTAGATCTCTTATCACACAAATCAAGGTTTCATTATAAATTCATTGCATTTGCACTACCTGGCAGCCTGAACAAGTATTGCGCATATTGGACTGGCAAAATATGTATCTTTTTCATCACGAAAATATATAGATTGGAATTAAATATCCAGTGTAAAATGCATCGTAAAATCACGTGTGATTGTTTTTCTTTTGGCGTGCTTATTGCATTATAGACCACCTTGTAAAATATTGAGATTGAACTTTTTTATATTGCAGGGCAAATACAGGGATCCACAAACGAAGCTGATGTTTTACTCGAGTTTAGAATTCAACCACATTCGCTGTTTACCGGGTGATATAGTAGGCGGATATCTATCGTTGAGAAAGGCTGATAACCCAGCAGGATGGTATCGCCCGTAATGGGGGCACACTGTCTACTGGTGACCCTAATCGAATTGATAAAAGGTAGCAAACATTTCTGGTTCTGCTAATTTTCCAATGTAATTCTGTTGTATGAGTAGTTTAAACTTTAATTTTATTGATATGTAATCAAGTAACAAGGCAGACATTTATTGAAATGTTCTTCATTTGTAAATACTACATTAGTAGGCATTTTTGTACAGTAAATGTGTTTGTCTATGATACGCATAGAACGTCAGTGATTAATATGTGTACGTTTCATGCTGATAGCAAAATAAAACTTTACACAGTTTCATTGTTGCAGAGTGGTATCGATTAGATTTCTTATCACGCAAATCAAGGTTTCATTATAAATTCATTGCATTTGCACTACCTGGCAACCTGAACAAGTATTGCGCATATTGTACTGGCAAGATATGTATCTTTTTCATCATGAAAATATATAGATTGGAATTAAATATCCAGTGTAAAATGCATCGTAAAATCACGTGTGATTGTTTTTCTTTTGGCATGCTTATTGCATTATTTACTTTGGAATTCTGTTACCTAATATTGTAACCATATGGATTGGTTGTAAGCATACAACCATACCTAACCCTATCCCATTGGGATAACCCTAACCCTACAGCATACTAACCTGAACCCTAACCCATAACCGAAGCTATAGGTATACCACATTTATATTACCATTACTTTTAGAGGTATTTCCTGATGGTGGTGATAAATAAGGGAATTTCTCAACCAGTAGATGGCGTTAATATACAGCTATGCACGAGGAGCTGACGAAATAACGTTCAAACACGCGCGCACGCTCGCTCGTACCATAGCTCGTACGCACATACACACGCGCTAGTGCTGTCACTTTTAACGAAAAACTAGGATAATGTCTACCTCGGAATTCTCTAAAAAGAATTTAATTTTTAAATCTAAGGAATTTGACCTATTATCATCAGAATAAGGAATCTTTACCCATACATCGTTTGGTCGAAATTATACGTTTAAAATGGAGAGCGCGGACTTCAATAACTAGCGCCTTTACAAGTTTAGACCAATTTATGACCAATAATAATGTGTTATGGTGGAAATACATTATGCATTATGACGGATTTCACACGAACAGTTGCGTAATTTTACGAAAGAGGTAGCGAGAACGCTGGTACGCCCCCCACGCTGTTTCCCATGCTTCCCGATCATCTTGTTTCGGTTAGGAAAAACTGATAACAATATATACTGTATATTGTATATGCACTTGTATATGTATATTTTACTTGTATATATTATAACAATATATATTGTTCTCAGACGGAAAAGAGCCAGCAACACTAGCTGATCGCATTGGGGGTGTCTATATTCAAGCCGGTACGGGAGATTACGGTACGCATATATTTACTAATATATTGACTAATCGTGCGTCAATAAACTCAATATTCACAGAGAGTATAGCTAAGACATGTGTCTATAGGTATGTAGAATTTTAGAAATTTAATCATCTGTAATTCACTTCCGCGCGCATATATTTGGCATTTGCTAATATATTGACCAATCGTGCGAAAATAAACTCAATATTCACAGATTCAAGCCGGTACGGGAGATCATTTGCATAATAATTATATTCTAAATACCTATAGACACATGTCTTAGCTATACTCTCTGTAAATATTGAGGTTATTGACGCACGATTAGTCAATATATTAGCAAATATATGCGTACCGTAATCTCCCGTACTGGCTCGAATATAGACACCCCCGATCGCATTTCAGGTTCTCGTCACCTGCTGCCATCTGGTGATGAGCTCAAGCAACTTCGTTCAGCTGAAATTAACAGGTTATTTTGGAATTCTTGGAATTGACAGGTTTTCATGGATAGCGCATCACGTTGGGTAAATTTGCACTTATTACATGATATGAACATAGTATGCGACACAATGTGTAATATAATTGTAACATGTAATACAATGTATACAAGGTGTATGTAAATATTGTATAAAATATACATGTATATCATTAGAAATTAATAATTTAAACATTTCATAATTTTTAATCCACAGGCATGGTGAGTGTGAAACCGGTATCGCTCTTACACACTGATCTTCATATTATACTAACGAGTTACTAACGAGTAAGTACATATAGATCATTGCTCGCACATCACAAATATTATCATACTGTTGACTGTTGTTACATTGTTGCTGCACTGGCGGCGCTAGTAGCAGTTCGTCGTCAGGGAAGGAGATTGTCAATTTCAATAGCGTTGTTTTGAAATGGCAGCAACAAGAGTGTGATCATGTCGAAGACGGTAAGTGTAGGTTGCGGGTGAGTAGCTGCCATTACGATAGGAAATCAACCGTGATCCAGCGGTTAGCTTGTCCTACTTTCTCTTTATAAGCTGTGTTTTTGACTGTGAGTTCAAAACCCGGCCTGGTAAGTGCATGAGATTTCGCAACGTGAAAACACGTGGTTCTCAACTCTGGGCATATTACTACAGTAGTTAATGGATCGTGACTGAATGTTGTAACATGGAGGTGTAGATGCTCAAAGGGGTGTGCATTGTGAGAAGAATAAGATCGATTAGAGATAAGGCCAGATTAATGGTATACCCCCCCCACTCCCACCACACACAGACAGGGAATACAGCGAACACAGAACTACACAGACACGCAGACATGGGGACAATTTATATATACTGATCTCAGGTGGTTTAGGCTATTATTATCAATCATGCAATGATTACGATTTGGACGTTTTTAAGTTTTAATCTCAGTGTAATAGACGTGATCTTGTGATAAAGATTGTTTAGATGACACTGCTATGTTTGCCTGTGGATAACAAAATCAATAATGGGTGAGTGTGTTACTACTCTTACCAGAGCTGTCCATGTCCTGCACATGTATGTTACATATTTTTAACCGAAAACATCTGCCTGCCGGCATGAAAACGTTGGGAATAACCTAAAATGTCAACACAAAATACCAAACCCCGCTTTAAACTCATTTTTACAAGCCGGCACGATTAAATTTCACGTATGGGCACGCGACATATACACAAGTGCAGCAGCAAGTACATGTATGCTGCTCCAGAAACGCCAGCCTGTGCCTTAGGTAAACTTTGAACCAATTGGCAGGCAGCTGAGCGGTGGGCGCGCCGTGATTGGCCGATCGCGTGGCAGGAGTTGACTGAGTGAAGAGCCGCGGCATGTGTGCATGCGGCAGATGACACTGGGATGCTTGTGTGAGTGAACACCCTCCTCCGATGGTCTCCTGATAGCGGGAGGAGGACACACGACTAAAAGAACCACCCCGTCGCGGCAACCGCAGCCATGGGCTACGACCTTCACCGCTTTCCGAGCAAGGTCGACGACGAGTGCAAGTGCGGCGTCTGCCTCGGCGTCCTTGACAACCCGCTGACGACGCCTTGCGGACACAGCTTCTGTGCGGCGTGCGTGCTGCCGTGGGTCGTGCAGCATGGGAGCTGCCCGCGCCGCGCGTGCGACCGTGAAGTCACGTCCCGTGAGCTCGACACCGCCGCCCCGCGGCTCCGCGACGCCATCCTCTCGCTCGCCGTACGCTGCGAGTTCGCCGAGCGCGGCTGCGGGGACGTCGTCGCCGTGCGCGATGCGGACGATCACGCCGACGCGTGCGACTGCCGCCCCGTCGTCTGCGGCAACAAGGGCTGCGGGCAGACGACGAACGCGCGCGACAGACGCCGCGTCACGGAGACGGAGCGCTGCGACCTGAAGGCCCGTCGGGGCTGCGCGCGCGGGTGCCGGCTCGTCCTCGCGGCGTGCGACGCAGCGACGCACGACTGCTGGGGGCGCTACTGGAGCGCGTCGACGCGCAGGACGCGCGCGCGGCCAACGTGGAGCAGGAGATGAAGCCGGCTGGCGACGCGATTCTCGAAGCGCGAGAAGTCTCTGCTGGCGCAGGTCGCGGCGCTGCACAGCGAGATTCAGCTGCAGGCGCTCAAGTTCCAGAAGAAGATGAGCGAGTTATCGACGCAGATATCGGGCCTCGCGCGCCGCGCCGCCATTCAGCCCAGCAAGGTAACAAACGAGAACCCACTCCCTGGTCGAAAACTGCGTCGACATCGTTCGCGCGCTGATTAGCGAAGCCACAGTTCGTTTAGGGGTTGGTGGGTTTTGGGGGTAAGTGAGTGGGCAAGGCGTTGGGGTTGGGGGGGGGTAAGTGAGTGGGTGAGGGTTTGGGTTGCGGGGGGGGTAAGTGAGTGGTGAGCGCTTGGAGTTGGTGGCGTGGGGTGGCGGTGGGCGTTGGCAGGGTAGTCACAGTGGTTGGTTGGGGAGGGGTTCGTAAAACTTGGCTATGGATGCGCATACATGAACTAGGGTTGTTGTTTGTTTAATTTGTCACTTTGTGAAATAGGAGCGCACTGGATTTTGTTATGAAGTTTGGTACCTTTGGTAAAGAATTCCTGGTTTCCTATTGTAACCCTTAGGACTATAACATTGGGCATAACCCATGCCTGAAGCTGACAGGGGAGGGGTGGGGGGGGTTGTTCTGCTCTAGCAAATGATTGAAACACTTATAGGTTTGAACAATCATGATGCAGTGACATGGATTGCAGTCAGCATATCCATGTCTGTCTTTTATCATGCCTATAATAGATTAATCCACAATTATTATATCATATGGCACACTAAGAAAAAAAAAAAGTCTTGCTAAATCTGTGACACTATAAAGCGATTGTTTGACTGGTTTTGTAGTTGGATGGATACACGAGTGAGTGAATGTATGAGCTTTTACACATTCGTACAGTATTTTTATATCATTTGTGCAGGTCCTGCTCTTATCTCATTTTTCATCCGAAATATATCTGTATGTACATCGCTCTCCCTTTGTGCACATTTCACCGCCACCTGCTCCATTTTTTCGTTGTCACCTATTATCATCACCCACGAGAGGTAATTTCATAAATTTGTAGCGCAAATGTTATTTTTGCGTTGAGCCCGACGGAATAGACGTGGCAATAATTGTTGTTATGACAACAGCAGCCTAGCTAATTACCACTGCTCACTGCATGCTCAGGTGTAATTAATCAATGACGTACCTGGCCAGGTAGACCGACTACTTCCGACTACTTCCTGCGTGGGCGACAGTTAAGCGGCCACGGTCTCCAGGGTTTATTGCTGCTGTGTCTGTTCTGCCTAAATTCATCAGTGTGTGTGTGTGCGTGTGTTCGTGCGTGCGTGCGTGCGTGCGTGTGCGTGTGTGCGTGCGTGCGTGTGTGTGTTTGCGTGTATGTGTGCGTGCGTGCATGCGTGCGTGCGTGTGTAGGGAATAATATGGGAGTATTGATTATGTGATTCTAACTCGGCCAGCTGCTCGTAAATGGGGGCTAAATCATTGCAATCCTCAGTAATCGGCTGTTTTTGTAAGAGCGGTGGGTAGGCCAGACTTAAACACATCTCATTGATTGATCGTGCTCCTACTACTTTGAGTCCTTGTCCACGAGAGTGACACGATAC